ATCAATGTGATATGCTACTTTAATAAAAATTATCATGTGAGGATGATGTGTATATACATATCAAGTCAATCTTTAGTTTATTTTTATTTTTATTTTTATTTTTAAAGATCAAATGAATAAAGATAAAATATATATTATTGTAAATAATTATTCAACTAAAGTTAATATGACATGCATATTTAGATAATTTTAATAATACAACATATTATATACTAACTGTACAATTGAAGCTCACGAGTGCAGATTTTATTGAGAATACAAAACTTGTTAATTTATAATATATATTATTGAGTAATGATCAACGTGTAATGACTAATTTAATAAGATTAAAAGTCTATTTGGATGATATTATATTAATGTATGATATAGTTTTTTTATAATCTTATCTTGTTTATTTGAATTTTCAACATGTGGTGTAATTTTTTTTACGGTTATTACATGGTTCAAAGATTACAATTTTTTTTTTATTTTTTCAAACAATCGAATCGGTAGTTTAATGTAGTTTGGATGATTTTGTTTTCATTTATACCCTTAACCCTTTTTATATTGTCACTTTATTTTTTTTTATAAAATTTATTTATTTTATTATATATATATTTAATTATATATATACATATACATAATATATTAAATTATATACATATATATGTATATTTAATTATATATATACATATATAATATATTTAATTATATACATATATATAATATATTTAATTATATACATATATATGTATATTTAATTATATATACATATACATAATATATTTAATTATATACATATATATAATATTTAATTATATATGTACATATATATATATGTACATAATATTTAATTACATATAAACATGTATATATTTAATTATATATACATATATCTATATATTTAATTATAAATATGTATATATAATATATTTAATTAAATATATATTTGTTTAATTATATATATATTTTTCTTTTTAGTTTTTTATTTATTATTATACACAATAAGATAAAGACAAAATAGTTAATTTGATCAAATATACAAACATATTATTTTATCAATTTAAATAAAGACAATTACCATTATCATACATTAATAAATAATTTTTTTAAATATAATATAACTTGAACATTACTGTACCCTGCACTTACTTAACAATACCGTACATTAATAGACTATCATAAAAATCATCTAAATAAATATTTAAAACTTTTGTATTCTACTTAAAATATAAAAATTCAAATTTTATTAAAAATATAAAACTTATCACTTTATGAATATAATATTAATTAACAGTAACAAATCAATAATATTTACTTCAATATAACCAAATATTTAGCCCATTTATTTTTGTTAATAAGATTCTAATAATCAAGTTGAGTTCAGTTTTATAAAAACAACTATTATTTCTGTGAAAAAAAAATATACATTTCAACCAAGGTCACTTAGTTAGGGTTCCACCTAGCCATTTCTTATTTATTTTTAAATAAATAATAAATAATGATACACAATGTCATATCACAGTGATGTCCCTCATGACTATAACGACTCCGGAAATTAAAAGAAAACGCATATATAAAATTTTAAGTGCGGAAGCGAAATAAAATATTATGATTAACATCCCTTACACAATAACCAAACGTATTAAACGTATGAAAGAATAAATTAACTAAAGTGGATATTAGAAATGAATACTATAAGGAAAACTATAAAATCTTTAGGCATCTATTCGCCGTCTTCCTGCGGAACGGGCTCGAGAACCAAGTCCTCCTGATCTAAAATGGTTAACTAAGGAATGAGCTACACTACCCAGTAAAAGAATGTTACACTATGATATCATGAAATCATACGCACTCTGTAACATAACACATGTCATATTTTTAATATTTCAATAATCAAGCAACAAATTTTCTCTATCACCAGCTTACCAGTATCCATGGGGATCCATAGGGGTTTCCGCCACACGTGAACCATTCATTTTAACAACTTAATTCCAGGGCCGTCCCCATACCCCGTCCGGTATGGGCACCAAAATAATAAATCTCAATACCCCATTCGGTAAGAAGGTGAAGCGGGCCGTCCCCATACCCCGTCCAGTATGAGGGTGAAGCGGGTCGTCCCCATACCCCGTCCGGTATGAGCGCCAAAACATTTAAAGTCTCTATACCCCATCCAGTATGAGAGACAACGTTCCCGGTAGGGTCCCCTATGGACCCGGTCCGTCCACTATCTCCCAGAATGTCTAGTGAGGCTGTTAACCTATCTATTTATCAACTCAATCCTATTCCTATTTGTTATTAGTCTCAATTACCCCATCAAACATGAATAC